GCACTGAAGTGGCGTAATAGCACTGCCCTCTTGCTTCTAGTCGCCTACGATACCATTTAAGCAGGCCACGGCTCCATGGTATTTGAGCACCTGTAGTGCATGGATGCAGAACCATATAACTAGGCAGGGCAGAACGCATGCCTGTTCGGACACTTGCCTAGAGATGCGGTTCTGCATCCATGCACTATAGGTGCTCAAATACCGTAAAGTCGAGTCTTGCTTAAATAATCCCTTAGGCCACTGAAAGCAAGAGGACGGTGCTATTGCGTCGCTTGAATCCGGTGTCAAAAGAGAAAGTACCAAGCCATATACTGCTCATCTGTTTTACTAAATATAGTCCCGCAGATGAATCAGACGTGATCTGAAACGTTGCACATTCTGCAAAAAATGCCATCGTGCGGAGTAAACCCGTTATGAACTATGCCAATGAAGAACTTACGTAACTCACTGAAATGAACCTTAGCTCTTACCTTTAGCCGTTGGATCTTCGCAGCAGTTACGTCCAGCTTGTCGATCGAATCCAGGTCCTGGGTAGCTATCACATCCTCGGCACAGCTGAGCCACTCGCTTAGAGAACGGAGCGCCTCCTCTAAATGAGGAGTGGGCGTCGTTTCAATGAAATTGCTCAACATCTCGACGGCTGCCGCTAAAAAATAAACCACGATCAACCACGTCTCATTTCAGAGAGCATGGCTCGCCCATCTACTTATTTTCTCGACCAAACCAGACCATTTTTCAATGAACAGGTCGAAATTCTTCTGGAAATTAGGGTCCACGTGGCCATCAGACGTAACTGTCTTTAAAGACTCTTCGAACCTGTTCTGAAGCATATCAACGCGCGACTGATACTGTTTCACGAACTCCAGTTTCTCCTACAAATTAAACGTTATTAATGAGCAAGATAGAGTAGCACGCCACAAAACAGTAAATCCAGCAATCAACCATATAGAAGATACAATGTTAAAAATCGTACGAAAAGAATTAGCTTATCGAGTATAGGTTTGTCCTTTACTAAACGCATTTATTGTTCTTACTATCCTCGTCGCTATCAGAAACTAGCAAAGTCTGAAGAACAATTCTGCCCAGATTCATGATGTCTGACTAGGGATAAATGGTGTTCCAGGTTTACGATACGCATTGTTCGCTATACAAAAATAGGTACAAACGCTTAGACACTGTATTGTTGTTCTTCATTTAGCTGGGTTTTATAACTAGTCAGAAATAATCAAGCATCATTAATCTAGGTACCCGGTCTTTGATTCTGACGCCTCCGATGAAAAACAAAAATTCATAACCGATTAAGGAAATAAGGCTGAAAAATCAGACAACATAATTCGATTCACAAGCAGACTTAAATGCCAAAGAAAGAAAACCAGCTCTCATTTCAGTAGACATACATTTGCAAATAATTTTGATAAAGATAATTAGTCGTTGACAGGGGACTACGTTTATCATGATCCGAAGTGACGTGCTTTTTGCTTTAAAATATTCTTGGAGTATCAATGAATATTCGGTTCGTGCGCTGGTGGTCATAAAAACAGCACAAAGCACTGTTTATTTATAAACAATACAAACAATTTGGTCAGACGGATCACTGAACAGCGCCAACTTTTCTGAATTCTTCAAAATGGTGAGGCTCTTTCTGCTATTCGCAGCAGTTCCTACGTTCGGAGTCAGAAGGCCAAACTGCATAAATAAATCAGAAAACCCCTGGCCGCAAACCTACAAACTTCTGTGAACGACAATAAAGAACCTCCGAAACGAACCGTCCACTCTATGTTTAAAAAAGTTCGTGAGGGAAAAGCCGAACCGTCAC